GGCGCGAGTTCTGGCGCACCCTGTATAATGAGCCTGAACTTTTTTTGAAACAACTAACATTACATTTAAAAGATAACGTAGAAATTAAAATAAACAGAACTTCAACTTCAAAAAGATTAATTTGGTGAGATTTATTTACTATAACTATAATGTTTAATAATGACGAAAAGACCGACATGGTTCTCATTTATGGAGAATGTTTAAAAAACGCTCCGCGTTACTACTCAGATGTCTCTGAGTATTAACTTTTTCAAAAATGAAAATACAATCACTATGTTTAATTAATTAAAACACGTTTTTGAAATGTAATGTTGGTTGCTTCAAAACAATTTTCAGGCTCATTATTACTTTTGAAGCACACTCTATATAAATTCCTAAATTAATTTCGCTTTCTGTAAGTTTTCACGCTTTTCTTTTGCTTTTAAAAGCATATTGCATTGTACAGCAACTTATCACATATTGGTTGACAATTTTTTTCTCCCTATTTTAATGCACTCATTTATTATGAATGAACCCTAAAAGGATAAATCATGGAATTCTTTTTGTTTTTGGTTTTTACCTTATTCTTACTATTCAGTAATAAATAACAATAGGGTGTCAATTCCATAAAAGCTTTTATCTTTAAATATAATTCAAATAGCTTTGCATGTTATTGGTCCATCCTAAATAAACCCTAGTTTGAAAGCATTTGTCCTCATAATTCCTATCTCATTAAAATCGTCCTGTTATCGTATTTTATAATGTGGAATGTAACACCAATCTTAATTAAAAATTAATTAAAAACGTTGTATAAACTCTGTAGATCCTTGATAGTCTACACGCACTGACGCACTTAAAATTATGCGGGTAAGCCTTAACCGTCATAAAATGTTTCGTTTAAGTTACCTACACGGTTACCTACGAAACATTGCGCCAGGATAAAGTCTACAAATCTCTCTTGAATCACGTCGGACCTACAACTCATAGCTTAATTGCCTACAATATTTTTACGGAAGCGAGTAAGTAATCTGTTAAAATCAAGTAAGTGAGCTTGTTGTTGCCGGCTTGGTTATTGCGATATGGTCGCAGACCGGCGTTATGAATAACTGCGTGGGGTTTAAGGTCTTAAACGGTGATTTAATTGGTTAATTGTGTGGATGGTTTTTTCAGTTGAATTATGGCTAATCGCCCGGAAATTAATTTTTAAACCGAAATGCCCTAAAACTATTTATTAAACACATATCATAACACAATTTTTTGAGATTGAAATACATATTTATAAAATGGTATTTTAGTAATAATTTAATTAAGTGACTTAAAAACACTCTCTTGCTCTTAATTTTTCGAGTTGCTGGTCCAAGAATCTTCTACGTTAGTCTATGACTGCGAATTGCTACATTTTCCCGTTTTCCGGAACAGTTGACAAAATCGAGCTTCTCCGTAATCTAATTAAACACCACTGTTGTTCGTTATCTGCCAAGAGGTGACGTCAGACGACAGATACCCATTCTGATTAATCCTATATTGGCTTATAACAATCGATTACTTAAACTGTTATTTGCCTTCATTTAAAATGTCCATTTTGAACATAGGCACATGCTATATGATCTAATAGAGATTTTACTGCAAAGATAATAGATAGTTATCTTTCTGTTTAATACGTGCAGGAATTAGAATGGAGCGAAATGGTTGGAGGCGCAACCGTAAAGATGTTTAATATTTAATTTACAGAACATTTTGTTGTCATAAATACTTCTGAATGCAGTGAATGCACTTAATGCACCCAACAACTAGCATTTAATTTAAGTTTACATGAGTTAAAATCTCTCGATCGTAAAAATTTAAGGAAAGAACAAATAAAAGAACGCTCCTTTAGTATTCATTAGGATTAAATAATTTAATGGAGATTTTGAGTGCACTTAAATTGTTTGCCTTTTGATTAGTGTTTGAAAGAGCTCCTATATTTTAGAATTTGAGAAAACTCGACGTAGTTATTATTGGATCGAAAATTCTTCTGTTAGAAATATAATGTACAGGTAATAATTGCGAAATTAAATTTTTCTGGTTATGTAGTGGAGTTTTTCTGAGACCTTTGTCATTTTCCACGCCACGATCCACTTCAAATCTATTCAATTTCGTTTCTCATTATATAAAGCATCATCGAAAGTTTCAAGTGAAGTGCGATAAAGCAAGTTATTGGTCTAATCATTTGCTATCCAATTGCACCAATCAATTAATAATTTTATAATTCTAATTACTTAATGAATTTAGGAAATTGACGATATTTGTGCTGTTTTCCTAAATTCTCTAACTTTTCATTAAAACGATTTTTCTCGTTTGTTTGTTTTGTAGTACCACAAATATTTTACCTATGTCTAGGAGCGTCCTTTCGTAAATACATTATTCAGTTATTTCAAGTAAATGTAGGCAGTTATGGCTATATTTCACTTTCTTGGTTTTCGCAGACAGACAAATGTACCCTTTGCAAATATATCTAACTTTGTGTTTGTAATAAGTTTCTCTTTTTCTAAGTGACTTTGAATTTAAAAGGAGTCTTGAAGGATCTTTATCATTTAGACAAATTGGTATTTGCGTGGTCAGAGTGTTACAGTTACAATAAAGTATATCTGAAATGAGTTAACTTTTTAATTTTATTGTACGGTAAAAAATTCCTCAAAAGAAATATATATTTTATTTGCACAGAAAAAGTTTGTAAAGACTTGTTGCATACCAATAAATTTTATTTGACAAAAATTTAAAACGATAATTGTCTCATTTATATTTATGTTATTTTATTTACATAATTATGTACGCGTGACATAAAATGATCCTCCAATGATTTGGGTAATAACCCTGTCATGGAAATTGATTTTAATTGAAAGGATGAAAGGATAATGGATTTAGGTACATGTTATCTAGTTTTATCGTTTGCAATTTTATTTTAAAAATCAAAATTCGTATTTTGAAACAATCAATATATTATTATCGAAGTACTCGGAACTATACATAGTAAAACTGAAAAGTGGGTGTTTGATTAGTTTTATTGTATTATTAATTTGACTTTATTGATTCGGTTCATAAGCGGCACACAATATAAGAAACAATTTCCTAAATTGGCGGGAAATTTGGATGAAAAATATTTATTATTTCATAAAACACCAAGATTAATAATATTTTTTTATAAATTCAATATAAAATAATAAATTGATAAAATCGTAGTCGTTGTTTTTAAACAAGACAATAATTGAAAACTTGATATCATTAAGTTATAAATCTATTGATTTTTTAGATGCAACATATGTATTGATGTTCTGAAACTGACTTAAACGACATTTGTCATAACATTGCCGACATTGAATTACTATTTTAAAAATACCTTTCATGGACTATTTATTTTCAAGTTTTTTTTTTTTTTAATTCAATCATAATAAACAGTAATTTGTGTTCACATGGTGTTTAAATTGTATGTAATTTACTAAAAACATTATTAACGGGTCATTAATACGCAGTAAAATTACTTTAATAAGTGTTTACTGCGCAATTCTCTTATCTTTACTATGATGAAGCAGGACTTCCTTATGTGAACACGTGAAACCACTTTTAAGAGATTAGTTGAATTAAAATTAGTCACATTATATGTACTGAACCTTTTACAGCTGACACTAGAAAGTACGTATTACACATTACGTCCATAACATAAACAATAATAGAAAGAAACACGCAAGACTCAATCTTACGGCCAAAATAAGTATCATAATTCAACAGAATCTTCAAACAAACATTCTTGAAATTAGACGTAACAGGTATTTCGAGAGAAGCACTACATGAAGCAACTTATGGCCTCAGAAACCCATTACAAGCCCACTTAATCGAATACATCGATACTTCACCTCATATCCTACTGCGTGAATTGTTCAGTGCACCTACAAAAACATTATCTAAGTTCTTGTATAAATTACCAGCGGCGGCGACACTCTCTAATTACGGTTTCCGTTCCATTAGGTCGTTCCGTATCTGAAGCGAACGAATCCACACTGCTAATGCGTGATTTTCAGTTTTTCAACTTTAGTTTAGTAGTCGTAAGTAATGGTATTAGGACATTAGATAAACAGTATCACGTGAGAAAATATATATGATGGATATTGAAGTGATAACAGCTTATTGAATATCGAGTGTATTAAGTTTTTAAGAAATCTTGTTTCTGAAATGAAATTTTTGCTGGATCTTATTAGCTATGATGTTAAATCTCTTTGCGTTAAAATGCAAAAACTGTATAAAATCGTCTTCAATTTGAATGAGATCACTGTTTGAAACTATTTTCGAATTCCAACGATGTTTTAAGGTATATACATAAGTTGTTTTAAAAGTTTGAAAGTATATGATAACGGATATAGACTAAAGTTTGAAAACGTGTTATAAATTTTCAATACCTCTTTCCAGATTATGTTCGTAAAAATTCTTATTTTCTTGCGGATGTTTTGAGACGTTTAATATTTTGCGACACGATTTTCCTACTGGATGATTTATGATCCGAAATAAAAGAACAATTTCATTGCTGATATATCATTGGTTAAAATCGTACACAATTTGCATTGAACTGCTGCGCAAACAACACTTTACCAAATTGCATGCCAAACATTGTTTTTAATTTCGTGGAGATCTGTGTGCATGTTCACTTACCTCAAATGGAAATATTTAATTCGACAAGTTTCATCTTTTTAAAATTATATAATTTTTCCCAAAATTGCGAATAATCATATAATTTTATTTACTCGTAAAATATAGGAGGGAATTTTAGTGCTTCGTAAAATCTTGATCAGAGGCGGCGATGAGGTCCCATAAATTTGTAGAATGAGATGAAAATATCCCCATCTTTGATGTGACGACCATTGACACATTATTTAAAAAAGAAATATTTACACCCACTCGGTTATAAATAACCTATAAAATACTAATTTTCGAATCTATTGCGTAATTTGAAATGAAAGCTTGTGACATTAATTTTTTTATTTTATTTTCAGGTGAATTTTATGGCATGAAACGCGGAACGGTACAATAAATGAGGAAAAAATGTATGGAAGGAAGCAAATGAGGCGCTTAGTCGCTCTTCTAATCCTGGTAAGTGTATGAATGCATAAAATATTTTTTAAATGCCACCTATGGATCTACCTCTAACAGCTTGTAAGGTTTTATTATTATTATTATTCCATGTTCTGTAGGGTCCCTTATCCCGGAATAAAGGAAAATCTGTTGTGTGAATAATATATCTATTTAATTAATAACTAATTTCAATCCTCTCTCTTTGCTCTTAATACTCCCGGACTAGACATTCAGAATGCAAATTGAATTTGCATATCGCTATGCGAATCTACAGTTTTAATAATTGACATAATATACTCGTACCTTTCGAGAAAGCCATGACGCGACCTGGGTATTTTAATTATTTTGGATAACTCTTAGTTACGAGAAATGCTTTTCGTATTCTGAATTCTGTGAATTTTCAAAATTCTATACCTAATACAATTTGTAATACTATTTGTATTAGGTATAGAATTTTGAAAATTCTCAGAATTCACACACAATAGTTGTGTTTGCACGAATGATTCATATTTTGGGGTATGTTGTGATGGATGCTTTGTTTTGAGAACTGATTTACTTATGTGCCTTCAATTAATAATGAATGATGACAAATTTAGTTACTTTCAATTTTTTTATATAGAATTTTATAATAAAAGGCCAAATTTTCGGACTGGTTTCTTATTTTTGTAGAAGAAATGTCATTGTCTTTAGTCGTTTCTTCGTGGCTTTTACACGTGACCTGCTTTTACGAGTGTACTGAAAAAGTAAACAAACAGCAAGGCTCTGCTGTCTGTGAAAATAAAATGAAGTTAAATGAGTTATGAAGACTGTCGTGGATTATGTAATTTTGATAAGTATTTGGTGCATAATGCAAAATAAACGTGAAATATTTCGGTAAATTAAAACGTTTAGTTCAAAATAATTTTATTAAAAAACGGATATTTTGACTTGTATTATAAATCTTTTGTTATCTATTTATTTTTTGAAACAGGGGACAGGTAAGTTCAAACTTATTTGTATTCAAATACCGTTAACAAGACGAAAACCAACGATAAGCCTTTCAGCTCGGAAAATCTGTAAGCGAGGAAGCATCAGTGTAAAATATATTTTTTTAATTGGATCTAAATACAGCATTTGTTGGAGAATATGCTGAATATTTATGACGAAAATGCCGTTCAATGACTCATCGGGATTTACAGATGATTGATTATTATCGGAAAAATATGTTTGAACAACACAACATTTATTGTTTGGCTAAGTTGAAATATGTCAGCATCAAATCTCCATGTTAGTAAATTTTAAAGACATTACACTAAACAAAGTTATTTCTCTATAAATTAGGTCTTGTGAAACTACAACATTGTCTTTGATATTCCGAAACATTGGGAGTTTCAAGTGACCGCAACTACGTTATCCAGACAATGTTACAGTTGTTGGAGGCAGTATAGACAGCCACGTAAATGCGAGCCGGGCTATTTCTGAAACATTTCAAGTATTTCTACATTACTGGTTTAGCTGATTTTTTTTTAACTTCTGTGATTCGTTTTTTATTTGTATTAGTCGCGTGGTACCATTTATGATTTTGGATCATTAAAACTGAACAAATAGTCGGAAATGCATCTAATATAAGGACGAAGCTCGGCGGAAAAGAGGTTTCGGGTAATTTATTGCCACAGACCATTGGATATCGCTGTAATACCCGGATATGGATTTTTTACTTTGTTTGTAAACACACAACTCAACATCGACGATTTTACTCGAACTTTAATACTTAATACCAGGTTTTTTACTTTTTTTAAAAAGAAATTTTTAAGTAAGGTTACTCAGTTACTCGGTTGCAAAATTTCTGATAGTTAATACTGAAAAATGAAACAACACCTTTTGCTTGGAAATATGAATAGACAATGTTATCCGAGTCAACTTTTTGAGAACATGGAAAAACAGTTGTAGAGGCTAAATCAAACCTTCACTTAAATGATTTTTTATCCTGGTCTTGACATGGAGGGATAAAAAAGATTACGGTTGTAACTTTTCAGCGACATACGTAAGGGAGATTCATCTTTTTCAAAGGTGACAGGTCAATCTGTTGGGTCCCAGTGTTATATGCTCTGTTCTAGAGTCTAGTAGTCGACCTGAATCAGCCGCCGCCGTTGACCCAGTCACCCCAGCATCAACCCTGGGTCGAGTCTGTCTTTGACAAGCCATCCTATGCCTATAACCTTTTGATACAAACTAATACATTCCGCGTCAAAACCATCGCCTTCACTTCATAAATTTTACGATATTATTTTAGGTCTATTTTCATGCTACTCATGTCACATGCCTTTGCACTTTAATGAGGGCACTCACGTTACTTAGTTACACGATTGTAGCTTTTTTCATGAACTGCAAAGCTGCACTGTTCACGTACGTCGTAAGTCTGTTGCAGGATAAAACGAAAGCAGCTAACGCGAGGGAAGAATAATAAGTAACAATGTTGGGGATTTTTTTAGAGCATTTTGAACATAATGTTGGCAAACAGGTGTTATTACTGACTTATTACGTGTTAAGTACATAGTTATTTTAATTATTTGTACACATTACACATTAGCAAACCGGTCGCAGCGTAAATAAAACTGGTTGCTGCCGTGCTCAGTTTACAATCTATTATCTGTACTCTTTTTTAACTTGCAATATTTTTACTAATTACAAATTTTGCAACGAAATAAAAATTAATCGTATTTTATGGCGTAATAATTTAGTGTTTTTCAATGTTCAATTGTTTGTAAAGCAACAATGTGCATTTTTTTTTCTATGTAAACATATTTTATTTGTTTTATTTTTTTAACACTTAAATCAAGAAGCTTAAAAGAGTCTAAGAAAAAATAAATATGCGCTGCCACACCCGCCATTGTGCGGCGGTTTTAGGAAGCCCAACTTTTCCTAATTAGACCCATTGTTTACTTTTTAATCAGCAATAAATATTAACGACAGAATTAACCCGGCAACCTTTGAAAAAGAGACGAAATATCAAAGGACAATAGTGAAAATTGACCATTTTCAAACACACTGAATAATGAAAACATCTAGGACCAGGCAAATGGCTAAAAAACGACAGAAATGCCAACAAATATTTGTTTATTATGAATAAGGTACTGAGACTTTCCTTTACTACAACCTCCACTCGTATCACTTACTCTTTAATAACTCAAGAGTGCATGTAGACTAATAGCTTGCGTGTCAATGCGTCCAAAAAAGTCAGTTCAATAATACCGCCGTTAACCCGAAGGCAAAGAGCATCATAATTCTTTTACATAATTAAGATTCGGCGCCTATGTAAATTTCTTCACCACTCATGATGTTTTATATCAATTTATGATGGTGCTAAAATGGCATTTAATATAACATGTTAGCCTATATATCAATAGGACAACCTAAGAATCGAAGCAGCGTGTATATATCAGCATTCTTTTTATTGGAACCGCTACTACCCCCGACGCCATATTTCTTTAATATTGAATTCTTTATTGGTCTCCTAGAAGTAATGCAATCATGAGGAATTTGTAGCCGCTCTGGTCGATTAAATCAACTTATTTCGTGATAAATAGGAAGGTTTTTGTATAAAACATATAATTTTTTAGTAGAAAAGTCATTAAGAATTCTCATCACAACAATCTTTTTTCTAGAAGCTAAAACATTCTATTGTCAGAGCAATTAAATTTATTAGCTATTTGCACCCCTTGAAAATCCAGCGTTTAATGTAGGAATAGGTTGCTAGTAACGGGTGATATCGACACCATTCCCGAGAAGAACCCATGTAGGCGTTAATGACAATGATAAAACAACAAGTAAAGTCTTTAAGTAGGTTGTGCATACTAACTATAGTCCAAAGTGTCTCATCACAGAATATCAAGTTCTCTTAATAAGGATTCTGAATTGTTAGAAAATTAATTTGAGACTCTTTTGTAAAATACAAGCTAAGTGAAAATTTTTACACTTGTAGATCATACCTATTAAAAAATTGGTTAATAGTGAAATAATGAGAAGAACTGTAGAAGACTCGAGTTTTTGATCAATATTCCTCGTGCTGTAGTTGACAGTGTTGTGGAACAAGTCTAAAGACGAGCACACCGTGTGAGAGTTTCATCATTTTCTCGATTTGAAATAGGCGCATTTTATGCCATGTTTATTAAGGAAAGTTACTTTTTCTTAAAAACTTTGACAAATTTTTAGCATGAATCATAAATATGTATAAGAATTATGTAATAAAGGTGGGAGATAACGCAGGTATACTGCGTTCCTTCAGGCTGATACCAAAACACAAATTCGATTACCAACGGGAACTAATAAATGAAGTCTGTAAGGAAGTTTTCAAGTTGGAGACTACATTTTATGATATTAAAAGTTTCTGGTTTGAAATTAGTTCCAAGAGAACGGGCCGGTGTACCCGATCATGTATTATTAACTTTAGATTGAAACCGAAGTGCCCTCATCATCACTTATAACTAACCACGTTCTAATTACCACAGATTTCGCTCAGGGTTCTAAAGTTACTTTTACATAAAGTGGAGTAAATATAAACTGTCTATACGAGTTATTTTATAACCCTTTCTTAAAAAGACTATTAACTTTTTTCATCTTCTGTCTAATTAAATATATGTGTAAGTACTTAATATATTCACTACAAGAGCCAAGAGAAATAAAAGTATGAACCAGGACATTGTTTAAATACATACACCGTTCTAAATGAAGAAAACTCGTTATATGGTTCGTTGATTTGTAATCGCATAAAATCTTTAAAAAGTTTGTTGTACTTTCGTTTTCTTTCCATCATTTAGTACAAATAATAACTTTTTAAAGGTTACAATCTACATCGTCACTTTGCTGTTTTTCATTGTTATTTAAGAAACTTTACCTTACTGCAGTTAAACTTTCTAGTATGCAGATTGTGGTTTATGACAGTTAAGTCAATAATTAGCTGTGTATTCAAATTCTTATTTATTAAGCATTAACTCCAGATTAGCATTTGTGATTCTTGTCGATTATAACAGTATTTTTCT